CATTTCCTCCAGCCTGACCAACCTGGTGCAGGAATAAAATGCACATCATGGAGAGGCTGTGGTTCTCTGGTGCTGGGCTAGACAGCCCCTGGCTGCCTTTCTTGCTCTCCCTCTCTCTCCCCAGCTGGAGCCAGCTGCCTGTGCCTTTGCAGGGGCAGGAGCTGTCCTAGCCCACGGGCTGGTGGGCAGCCAGAGCTGGGAAACACGAGGGGATAGAAGCTGTCCAGGTTATTAATTTGCAACTTGCTCACGGATCTCTCCCCTGCAGAGTGATTGCAGCAAACTGCTCAGCCAAGGCTTCGGGGGTGAGCAGGCACAGGCCAAGATTGAGAGCTGCCTGTCGGACATGGCTGCTGTCTCCAACAAATTCCGTGACCTGCTGCAGGTGAGTGCCTGGAGGAGTTGCTGCTGGCCCCCAACACTGGCTGCTGGTGTCTTCAGGGAGAACTCAAGCAGCTTGAGAGTCAGGTCAGCCCAGGACCTGACCCCAGGAGTGCTGGGTAGGGGTGCAGTCAGCTTTGAGGCGTGGGAGCAGCCCCAGCCCGTTTGCACAGCTGCACCAGCTGGCGACTGCAGAAAAGCACTGGGAGCAGCTGCAGAGCCAGAAGGAATGTTGCTCCATTTGTCTTCACTCAGCACGGAGCTGTAGTTGGTTCAGCACTTTCAGGAGAAGAAATATTAATAGCATTTCCATCTCCTCCATTCTCCCTCGTGGCACAGCACATTGTCAAGTTGTCCACAGCCTCAGTAAGTAACGCTGAAGACAGGCAGTTGGTAGAAAAGAGCTGCTCTTTTCTCAGGTTTCTCCTCCTTTCCCAAATAGAAATACTCCTCGGCATGGAGTCTGGCTAAATCCAGTCTGCTGTGGCATCCTGGGGCCTCTTGTCCTAAAATTTCACAGTGGTCTCTGGCAGGGAGAGACACAGGAAGACCTAGTACCTCCTGTGGAAAGAAACCAAGCAAAAAGAGAGTATTTTCAGCCAGGTTTGCCTTTGTACTTCACAGAGAGGCCAGGCTATTTTTCATTTGGCTTTGCAGTTCAGGGCAGCCAGATGTTTTCAGACCAGCATTGCCAGAAAACCCTCTTAGTGCCCGTGGTCTGTATTGAAACCAAAGAGCTCGTCAGTAGAGAGTAAAACTCTCCAAACTGGCTCTAGTGCAGTGTTAAAACTGGCTGCAAAGCAATCAAGAGGCTGAGCAGCAAGTTCCTGCACTGTATGAATCACACACACATTGAATTTGCCTCGGAAAAGGACAATTGCCAGCAGGGCCTGCTCAGAAATGCCAGTTTCAGTGAAAAACTTCCATCAAATGCCAGGCAGTATCAGTAACTGCATAGTTTCATGCTGGGTGAGCTTACTGAGCCAAAGGGGGGTGTCTGACAGGAGAGGCCTTTGAGAGCTCTCGAGCATCACAACGGACAGAGCAGCCTTTGCTGACAACCCGCTGCTCAGGGGAGATGGCATGTTGCTGGGATTATGATTAATGCAGGGAACTCACTGTGGGTACAGCTTTTATCCTCCTTTTAGCTTCTCCTACTGAGCTAAGCTGCACTGGAGGTGGGAGGCATCAGCTGAGTGCAATCACATTGACCTGGCTGGTGCTGAGTGGAAAAGCTGGAGTTTTGTGGCCTTTCCTGTGTGCCTCACTCCTGCCAGGAATCCTCTGTAGCCGAACAGGATGGGCTGGGGGAAGCACGAGCCCTTCAGACCAGGCTGCAAATCAGCACAAAAGCAGCTTCTGGGCCAACATCCTTCCTCTCCTTCTTGTGGTGTCCTCAGAGCCTGCCAGCACCGGAAAAGTGTGGGATTTGGGACTTCTGGGTTCAGATTCCTGTGCAAGTCTGTGGGTCGGTTTCCCCAGCTTGCAGTGAGGATGGAAGCATCAACACATCCTGGCTGTAAAGGTTTTGTGCCTCACTGTCCTCTCCTCTTGCTGTCCCCCTCAGGAAGGTCTCAATGAGCTGAACAGCACAGCCATCAAGCCCCAGGTGAAGCCCTGGATCAACCTGTTCCTCTCTGTCTCCCACAACATCGAGGAGGTAAGGCTCAGTGTTCTCTGCTTCCAGCTGCACCTGGGCGCTCTCCATCCTCTGCTCAGCAGCACAGTCAGAGCAATGCATTCATTCTCCTCAGTTACCTGCTGTTTCCTTGGCACAGAGCAACAGTAAAATACCCAGATCTTGCTCTGCAGCTGAGCCTGGAAAGGGACATTTGGCTAGAGAGGAGCTTGAGAAAACGGAAAGGGTGCAGTGCTGCTCCAGGAGGAGCAACCCTTCCTGTCCTCTGGGCTGTTGGCTGCAGTTCACTCCAGGCCACATAAACAACCCTTTGCATTTCACTGTCAGGAGGAGTTCAGCGACTACGAGGCCAACGACCCCTGGGTGCAGCAGTTCATCGTCAATCTGGAACAGCAGATGACAGAGTTCAAGGTGAGAGAGGAAGGGAGGGAGATGGCAGCCTGCCAGGTTTTAGCCAGACCTCCATGTGGCATCTTCTCCCAGCTCCTTCCCTGCTCAGGGCAATGGCAGGCAGAGATGTCCTCCAGTGCCTTGCAGGGCTTTTAGGGGTCCAATCACCCCCTTCTCCTGCAATTCTCAAAGCCTGCTTCCAGTCCCCACGTACCTGGATCACTTCTGTGGTGCTCTCCACTTGACAAGCCTGCAAGTGATGGGTTGTTATTTGAAAGCTCTCCTAGGCTTGGGGTTTGGGGAACTCTGCTCAGTTTTTCTTGACAACAGTGACACAGGTTTCTGCTTCCAGGCTGGACTGTCTCCAGTGATTTACGATACCCTCACTGGTCTTACGACCAGTCTCATTGCCATTGAACTGGAGAAAGTGCTGCTCAAATCCACTTTTAGCAGGGTAAGCAAAACACCCCTCTACCCTGTAGTCTGGTTTGACTCCAAACCCTTAGTAAAGGGATGGGGCAGGTCAGAGGCAAATGTTACCCTCAAAAAAGCTCTGCAACCACCAGTGGCCAACTCAGGGACATCCTGTATTACCACCCACAGGGAGAAAGTGTGTTATGTGATAGTCCTGAGAAAAGCTGGCACCAATAAGGGGGGGTGGCTTTAATGGTGGGTCTAAACATAAGCCATTTTAAGCTGCATTAAATGGTCTAACTGGAACCCTCCTGCTCAGAGACCTCCCCCTGCTACCCTGTGACTTTTACTTGTGTCTTTGGCACAACCCCTGGGCCTGCTTGGAGAGGTAACAGAGCTCCCTCGTGCCCGCAGCTCGGCGGTCTGCAGTTTGACAAGGAGCTGAGGTCTCTCATAGCCTATCTCACCACAGTCACCACCTGGACCATCCGCGACAAGTTCGCCCGCCTTTCCCAGATGGCCACCATCCTCAACCTGGAAAGGGTGAGCTGCACTTGGCCTGCTTTTACTGGGGGATTGTGGGAGCCCCAGCTGGACCCCACGTGGCTTTACTGAGCTCATCCAGGTGTCGTCACACCTCCAGGGTGCGGTGAAGCTGGAGGAGTTGCCCCGTGCCTGATGGGTGCTCGCCCGCGGGGTTAGTGGCGGGAAATCCCATGACTGTAGCCAGAGTTTGAACTCACCTGTGCGGGCGGCCTGTGCTGAGTCGTCTCCTACAGGTCCCTTCTTTTTCCAGGTGACGGAGATCCTGGATTACTGGGGCCCGAACTCGGGCCCGCTGACCTGGCGCCTGACGCCGGCTGAGGTGCGGCAGGTCCTGGCTCTGCGCATCGACTTCCGCAGCGAGGACATCAAGCGCCTGCGCCTGTAGTCGGTCGGTGCTTGTGCCAGCACCACGCTCGAGGGAACGGCAGGAAAGCTGCAGCCCTGGGGCCTGCCCGGGCCCTGCCCCAGCTGGCTGCTACACGAGGTGTAGGTGGGGTGATGTCTGCCCTTCCACTCACATTCCTTGGGCCCAGCAAGAAGAGCTGCCACCCTTCTGTGGGAGCAGGAACAAGGCAGCAGAGGAATCTTGAGAAAGAGTGTGAGGCTCTTTCTCAGAACACAGGCTAGTGCCGGCTCCTGACTCCCTGCGCTCTGCTCCCTGTGGGAGGCCACAGGGCAGGACACTTGGGGGCTGCTGTGGCTCAAAGATGGGTCTGCAGAGCTCTGCCCGTGCAGCTGCTGCAGTCGTGTGCCCTCTGTGCCCCAGCTACTGGAGTCACAAACCCTGAGCCCTGGTTCTCTCCTGGTGGTGGTACGGACTGTTCTGCTGAAGGGAAAAGGAGTGATTTCCTTGGGAAGGTACTTGAAAAATCACTAGGAAGCCTCTGTGGGAAGCAGGGCTGTGTCCCTGCTGGCTCGCTGTGCCCTGTACAGCTACTCTGTAAATAAACCTCACCTGGCTGAGCTGCAGTCTCGGGTGGTGTGTGCATCCATGGGCCTGGAGCGAGCTGGAGAGATGCTGGACAAGAGCTCTGCTCCATTTCTTCTCTTCTACCCTCACCAGCGTATCCAGAGGATCTTCCTGCCCTGCCTGGTGCTGTCCCCATTACCTAGGGCTGTGGAGGGCAATGACCAGCCCCTGCATGCAGTTTCTGCCATTCCCACTCCTAGAAAAGCTTTGCCCACACATTGCTGGGCTCTTGCTCTCCCGTGGGAGCAGCCCTGCCAGGGACAGAGGGGCACAAACACCTGCTAGGAACAAGCTCTTTTATTCAGACTGACTGCAGGAATTAGTAACTTGCTTTCATTATTCACTATATCAATGCTGAAACAGTCCCTCAGGACAGGAGAGGGTCTTGATTCCACATCCAGGTGCATCCTTGGTGCAGGAGCATTGTGTGCTGAACAGGCAGCATGGGTCCCTGCTGCTGGAAGAGCAGGAAGGTTCCTGCCAGAGGCAGCATCAGAAATGCTAGTCTTTTCCCTTTGGAGAACCGTAAAAATTGGAGTGAAACCGCAAAATCAGGCTGGAGGCCCTTGCAAACTGTCCTTCCAGCAAGGCCACCCTCCAGGGAGAATTCTGTCTGCCCAGCTCATCACAGCTTCTCCAGCCTCTGTGGCTTTTGGGGCAAGCAGCAGCACAAAAAGGCCATATCAAGACCTAAGGCACCTGCTGGAGCTGCCCCTAAAGCAGTGAGGATTTCCTGTGTATCTGCCAGGAACTGGCCAGGGCTGAAGGCCTTCACACAGCCCTGTCCTCTCCAGGGCGAGCACCATCCTTCGTATCACATCCCACAACCTCCACAGAGAAACCGCCCGTGTCCACCTCGATGCTGTGGATGCTGAAGTTGCCCAGCCCCTAGAAAAATAATAAAGAGCCACTGGTTGGGACAGGAGCCAGCGAGGGACCTGTTCTCACCTCCGAGGTCCCAGGGAGGGCACTGGGACAACCAGCCATCACCTCCCACGCGCGGTGGGGCGAGATGCTCCTCACGCTCTCTTACATAAAGCTCCTGCAAACCGCCCGTGACAGTGAACCTCCCGGGAGCTCACACCTCACCTCGGTGCCAGCCAGGATCTGCTGCAGAGCCTCTCTTTGCCGTGGGGCTTTGGTTAAGACGTAAAGAAAGCCGCCGCCGCCGGCCCCGGCCAAGCACTGCCCGTGGACGTGGGGCCGGAGAGCGTCCATCATGTGCCCCACGGCCAGCGGCTCACACCCAGGGGCCATGACCTTCTTCTGCTGCCAGTAGCGGTCCAGACACTTGCCAATGAGCGCCAGGTCACCTGCAGGGAAGGGGAGATTGCAAATTACTTGTCTCCGCTTCTCGCCCGAAGGGCAGAAACCTGTCTCTGCCTCTCCTGCTCAGCACAAGATAAATTCTGCCTTCTCCTCTCCCCAGTTCCTCCCAGCTCTGCCTGCCAAGCAGGCAACCCCAGCCCTGTCACATTGCTGTTTATTTTTAATCCTCCACAGGGGGAGGATTTGCTTGCTTTAATGCTCTGGCTTCCTCTCCACAGCACCCCAGCAGCCAAGTGAACCCGCTGCACAGGCCAGGAATGGCCCTCAGCCCTGTCACCGATGGCTCACAGAAAATCAGCCAGACTCAGCATGTCTAACCCTCTCTTCCTCAAAAATCTTTGTTCAAGCCTGAATTTGGGGGCATTGCCTGGCGAGGGTGTGTCTGGGGGAGGATTTGAGACTTTTGCAGCTGCTAGAGCCTGCACCCATCAGCCTTTGCCCCCTCCAGGACTGCACAGCCTCTCCACAGGGAAGTTTGTGTTTCTTCAGCTGTTAAAAGGGCTGGCTTGGCACAGGGAAGGGGATTCACACCTTGCCTCAAGGCCTGGGCACACTCCTCAGCGTTGCTCACCAGCGCATCAGTGTTCTGCACGATGGAGGGCAGCCTGGCGTACCAGTTCCTCACCACGTCCTGCAAGAGGCCACAATGTCCCTGTCACCATCCCCCTGGCTTCGGCAGCACCTGGGGACGTAATGCTGCACCCACAGCCTTGGGTGTCAGCTCCCACTGGGGTGGCAAAGCTCTGCACCAGTGAAGGGGACAGGCACCAGAGGCCACAGGGGGAGCAGAGGCCAGAGCCTGTGACACCCAGGGGCACACCCAGGCTTTACCTGGAGCAGGTTGCGGGCCAGGCGAGTCTTCCCCGTGTACACCAGCAGCAAGTGATCACTGAGGGTCTGGGTAAAACCGTCAGGCACCGGGATCTGCTCCACTTCCACCCTGAGGGGCAACTGGGCCTTCGACCTTCCGATTTTGATGCCAGGGACGAGCCCACCAACCTGGTCCTGCCAACCACCACCTGCAGGGCAGAGGGTCCTCAGCCGCCGCTGGGACCCCCACCCCGTGGCCCAGCTGCTCCCCCAGGCCACTCACTACCTGTCGTGAGCCTCTGCTCCAGGTGCAGCACGGCGTGGATGAGGGACTCGGTGCTGGCAGCCTTCCCAGCCGCCCGGTACAGCGATGCCATCACCGCTCCCGCCAGGATGCTGCTGGTGCCTGCAGGGAGCACAGGCAGGGCAGTGAGGCACCGTGTGTGCCCTAAGGGTGGGGAGCAGCAAGGGGGATGCCCCATCCTGGTGCTGGCGACTCTCTGGCGCAGGAGGGACTGCCCAGCCCTTTCCTTGCAGACTTACCCAGGCCAGACCCGTGGGGCAGCGTGGACCAGGTGTGCACTTCGAAGCCACTCCCAAAACTCTCCATCAGCTGGACCCGCAAGGGTTTCTGTGAGGGGAACTGCACGACCTGGGTGCAGATGAAGGCAGCTTTGAGCAAGGCTCCTGAAAACGAGAGGAGGCAAAGCTGATGCCTGCTGTGCTACCTGCTGCCTCATCCCATTGTCCCCAAAAACCCTGACACCAAGAGGCCATGGCAGGTGCAGAGCCGGGCTGTGCAGCCAGGGACACCTCACCTGGTGCGTGTGGCTGGCAGTAATCCTGCAGGTGCTCCAGCTCCCGGCACACCAGCTCTGTCACCGCCTGGCTCGGTGGGGCCCCGCTGAGGCTGACGAGGCGCAGCTCCGGCGCGGGGATGCGCCGCACCCGGGCACCGATGGGCCGGCACCCGTCCACCAGCACCGCCACGTCCACCACGGCCCCCCCGTGCTCGTAGGTGATGGGGGGGGTGTCACTCCAGCCACCTGCCAAGGCTCAGCATCAGCCCCTCAGAGCACCCCGACTCCTTTTTCCCCAGCACCACAGGGGTGAGACATGGATCATCTGACTGGGAAGGAGACACGGATCACCTGACACTCACCGGAGAGGTCCAGGCGGGCCGGACAAGCCACCTGCACCCAGTGCCCCAAGGGTGGCAGCTCTGCCTGCCCCACGGTGACAAACTGGCACGAGGACATCACCGCCTGCCGGACCAGGATTTGCTCGGCCCCCTCGTAATGCCGAGCCGCTCTCACCAGCAGAGCCGGCCTGGGATGAGAGGGGTGCTGAGCCCACCGCCACGTCTCCACGACTGCACTGGTGCCTGGGGAGGGGCAGCTGCCGCTTGCCAGCCCCAGCCTCACCGGCTCATCCATTTCTGCCGCTCGGCAGCCAGCTCCCGGACACCGCTGGCAACGTCCCCGCGCTCCAGGCACCCAAAAGCCGAGGCCCACTCCCTGTTGGCAGCAGGGCCGCTCCGCAAGCCCCCTTCCCCTCGTGCCATGCAGCCCAGGACCTCGGCGATGCAGGCGAGCGCTCGTGCTGCAACGCCAGCGTCACCGGCCGTGGAGGCAACTAGAAAATAGAATTAAAGAAGGCTGCAGGTCACCCCAAACCAGCCCACTTCTGCCATAGGCCGACTCCAGGGGAGCGGGACTCAGATGGCTTGTGCCCACTCAGGCTTGTTGGATGCCCTGTGGGTGCACCCCCATGGGTTCCTGCAATAGGTGGGGTCACTGAAGGGGGTGGGGAGCACCGAACGGTCCAGATAGCCAGAGATGCAGCTCATGTGAGTCCAGCTCACCTTCATCCAGCGTGCCCAGCACGGCCTCATGGTAGCCCTCGTGGACGGCACTACGGGCCAGCGGCAGGAGGCTGCTGTCCTGGCGCCCCAGCAGCACCCGCCGCACCTTGCGCTGGCCCTGCAGGAAGAAAAGGGCCTGGCGGGTGCCCAGCTCGGCCGCCGTGTCCAGGCAGGGCAGCAGCTCCTGCCAGGACATGCGCCAGGCCGTCCGCCAGCGTGCCAGCCGCTCGCCCGGCACCGCGGCCGGGGCCAGCAGCCACAGCACGTCCTGCAGCCCCAGCGCCTCGCAGGCGTGCAGCACCGGGAACAGCCGCGCGCTCAGCAGGCAGCGGCTCCTCCGCGGCGCCTCGGCGTCCCAAAGGTCCCCTTCCCTGATGGAGGGAGAGCCCATCAGCACTGCCCTGCGGCTCCAGAACACCTTCCAGGAGGGGAGCAGGGATTCAGGATGGGCTGGGGTGGCCGTGACACCTCCCACTGCAGCTATCCCCACGGGAGCTGGGTCTCCTGTCCCACCCTGGCACGCGGCACCTACCGTATGCCAGTGCGCTGGAAAAACTCAGGCCAGGGCACGTTCAGGTAGGTGGCCTCTTCCACAGGGCTCTGCAGGGGCACAGAGGGGCCGGTTACACCTTGGCTTGGAGGGGAGCCTCGTGCCCCCTCGCCGTCCCCGCACCTGCCAGTCGTCGAGGCGGCCGGTGAGAGTGAACACGCGGCAGGGCAGGTCACGCAGCCGGACGTGGTGGCCCTGCAGGACAATGTCACGCAGGGGACAGCCCCGCAGGGCTGGTGAGGAGCCCGCATCGAGGCCCGAGAGGAGGCAGCCAGGACCGATCTCCAGGGGACCCTGAGGAAGAGGCAGCAGAGCACGGAGTGGCACGGCTTGCCCCCAGACCAGAGCCAAATCCTGATCTTGGAAGGAGACGACCACCCCGGGAGATAAGGTGGAGCCAGCATAAGGCAGGTGGCAGAAAGACATAATTTGCTTCGTCACAGGGCTGTGAGGACATGGACTACAGAAATTCAGGTCAGGTGACAGCCTCCAGGGCTCTCAGCCCTCAAGGAGAGAGTCTGCCCTGATCCCCAGGGAGGGACAGCCTGGAGGTGACAGCCTTCTCCCCTTGGTTGTGGAGGTTGACAGCCACCAAAAGGCAGCCCTGAAGAGGAAGGGCACCCCAAATCTCACAGCTGTGGCTCCCCCATCCTAGCCAGCCCCACATCACCCTGCTGCCCTTTCAGTGCACTGGGAGCTCAGGGTCATTCCCACCACAGTCACGTACCTGGAGGTGACAGTGCTGGATGACACTGCCGGCTGCCAGCCCCACAGCTCCTTCCAGCAGGCAGTTGGTGACTGAAGAGCCATCCTCCAGGAGACAGGGCTGCTGCCGAGGGCACAGAGGCACGTGGGACCAGGGGCCAGGCACACAGCCCAGAGCAACCCCCAGAAAACGTGCATCAGCAAGGCTGGGGGTGGAAGCACATACATCCACGTGGGAATGGGCTGTCTTGCAGAAGCGGAGGTGACTGGCAGAGCCAGGCAAGAGAGTCAGGCTGCGGATGTGGTCACTTGCAGAGGTGGTCATGTAGTCGTAGGACGCATCAGGGATGCAGGCTGGGGGAGGCAGGAGAGATTTCAGCACACCAACAAACAGTGTGGGTGTGTTTGACACCCCCGTGAGCCCAGGACAGGCTGAACATCCCCAGCTGAAGGGGTGGGGAGAGAAGACCTGGGGACCTGCAGCTGTGGGGAGACACAGAGAGCTGCCAGGCCCTGACCAACCCATCCTTCCACACACAGGGGAAGAGGGCCTAGGGATGGGTCACATCACACACACTCACCACAGCACTGAATCACAGAATGGTTGGGGTTGGAAGGGACCTTAAAGATCATCTAGTTTTAACCCCATGGGCAGGGACACCTTCCACTAGAAGGTGGAAGGAAGCACTCACCCATGCTAAGAGGGAAGCCACGGAGAGCTGTCCACAGCACGGAGCGGGCGTTCCTCACGCTGGCATCGCTGCCACCCTTCACAAAATCCTCCTCTGTCATCCCCCCTGCCATGCTCAGCACGATGTCAAAAAAGAGGGAGAGCTGGGGAGAGAAGGGATGTGTCAGGTGCAGCCACCCTGACCCCCACCCTACTACTGGGTGCTCCCTCCCACCATTTCTCCCACTCAAATCTGGCACTGTGGGTGCAAACAGACCCTACAGAGATGCCCAGGAGAGGCACCCCTGTAGCAAGGGGTCCCGTCCCCCGTGGAGGGACTGTCACCTGGATGGGAGGTGCCCCTGAGTCCAGCCCCATGTAGGTACAGGCATCCAGAGGAGAGATAACATGGGTGGCCAGAAGCTGCTCAGCAGCGTCCGAGGAGAAGAAAACAATCCCACAGACCTGTCAGGGCACAGCAGGGCTGAGGCTGCAGCTGTGGTGACACAAGGGATGGTGCTGGCAGGGTCACCAATGCCCAGGTCACACCGTACCAGCGGGACGGTGCCATCAGGTCCTGCACACTGCTGGATCTGGGCCTCTGTGCCTTTGTAGATGATGTCACGCACCAGCCCCTGTGAGTGAGAACACCCCAATGAGCTCCTCAGGGAGCCCCAAGCCAAGCAGCCACAGCAGTGCTGGGACCGCAGCAGCCAAGGGGTGAAGGGGTGGGGACCTCCAAGGAATGTCCCTTGAAGGGTGAGCTGCCACCGACCTGCTCATCAGCGAGGTAGACCCCGTGGTTCCTGGCATACACCGGGCTCCCGGGCACTGCGATCACTCTGACGCCCTGGAAGCCATCCCAGCTGATCCCTGGGGAGAAGGACAGAGACCAGTGCCCACTGGGGCAGTGCACGTACCCACACTGGGCACAGCTGCCTGAAAACTGGGCCCACGGCAGAGGAGGTGACATCAGCATCCAGCCTGGGCCACCTTACAGGTGCTGCCAACCACACACGGGACAGGAATGCTCGAGCACCCACACCCTCATGGGAGCACGGTGCGGGCTGAACCAGCCGTGCTGCTGGCTCAGAACCCTGTCCCAGGGCAAAGCAGGAGCTGGAAGCAAGGCTGCTATTCACTGACCTGGTGCCGAGGGCACGGTGAGGAGCATGTCGGTGCTGCAGACCCAGACGCCGGGCGGGGAGCCCACACAGAGCTGCTGAGAGAAGGGCCACGTGCCCAGGGATGGCAGGGAAGGGGCTCAGCCCTCGCGGGGCACCCAGCACCCCTCCCAGCCTGCTGGGAGCCCAACCCACCCCCAGGGCCCCATCCCCAGGCCACACGGACCCGGTGTGTCATGGTCCCCAGCAGGCTGTCCAGGTTGCAGACCAGCGCCTCGGCCGGGGCGCCGGGCTCCTCCGCGGGCAGGCAGGTGAAGGCGCGGCCGCAGTCGTCGAAGGAGAAGTCGCGGCCCTGGTGGGACGGAGAACGTGGCGGGGTCACCGGGAGGGAGCGGGTGCAACGGGGGGGTCCCACGCCGGGCTGCAGGTCGGTCTCACCATGTGCAGGATGAGGATGCGGGCGTCCCTCAGCACGTCAGCGGTCACCACCTGGCAGGGGACAGCCAGGACAGTCAGGGGGGACGGCACAGACACTCCCCTCCCGCCCGAGGCTGCCCCAGCCCTCACCGTGCAGCCGGCGCGGGCGCTGAGGTGCTCGGCCGCCACCAGCAAGGCGTTCAGGGTGGCACCGCCGCTGCCCAGGCGGGCCCAGGGGTCCTCCACGGCCAGGAGCAGCGCGGGGGGCCGCGGGCCCAGCGCGCCCCGCAGCCGCCGCACCTCCAGCTCTGCCAAGCGAGAGGCGGGCGCCGCTGAGAGCCGGTCCCCGCCGCCCCGCCGCGGCGGGCAGGGAGGGAGGGAGGGCGCCCGCCCCGCCGCTTGCCTCGCTGCAGGGCGGACACGGCGCCCTGGCCGCGCCGGCAGGTGAGGAGGAGAGCGCTCCACTCCGCCGCCATGGCCGCCACCGCGGGGCCTGCCGGGACCTTTAGTCCAGCCCCCGCTGCCGCTGAGGAGCGCTGTGTTATGAGGGACTACAGCTCCCAGCGTGCGCTGCGGGCACGGGCCGCTTAAAGGCACAGCGCACTCAGGTGATGCTCCCCCCCCCCCCCCCCCCCCCCCCCCCAAATCCATCTCCCCCATCTCGCCACCCCAGGGGGCTTGCAAAGGGGGAAAGGGGGTTTTGGTGTTTTCTGACCTAAAATGGGTCCCGGCGCCGGCGCGCACCCCTAAGCGCCCTGGGTCATCCCTGTCACGAGCCTGCCCGGACTCAGCCCGGGTCCTCGCAGGGATCTCGGCAGCGAGGGGATGGGCGCGGGTGTCGGTGCCCACTGGGGGTCAGGGCGGGTACCCGGTGGGTGCTGGGGTGCGATCGAGGTCGGTACTGGGGGATGCCGGTGCGGCGGAGTGGGTACCGGGGTGGATAACAAGGGGTGGGTACTGGGGTACCGATGTCCCGGGCTGGGGACCGGGGTAGATACCAGAGATGCCTGAGAGCCGGGTGGGTACCGGGGATGCCAGTGCGCCCGGTGGGTACCGAGGCAGGTACCAGGTGGGTACCCGGGATGCCGGTGCGCCGGGTGGGTACAGGGATGGGAACCGAGGTAGGTACCGCGGTGGGTACTGGACTGGGTACCGGGAGTGTGCAGGGTGGTACCGATGCGCCGGGTGGGTACCGGGGTGGATGGATCCCGGTGGATGAGTACCGGGGGCTGAGTACCGGGGATGCCGATGGGGGCTGGGGGATGCCGATGTGCCGGGGTGAGTACCGGGCTGGGATCCCGGAGATCCCAGTGCGGCGGGTGGGCGCAGGCGGTCCCGCTCTCCTCCTACAAGTCCCACAAGCCCCTCCGGGAGGCCAAGGACTACATCTCCCAGGCTGCCGGGCCCGGCCCCCCGCCCCGCACGGCACGGCACGGCCCCGCACGGCGCGGAGGGCGGTGGCGGCGGCGCCCGGGTGAGCCCGGCGGCGGGGCCGTGCCGGAGCTGAGCCAGGTACCGCGGCGGGGACGGGCCCGGGGCGGGGGTGCGGGCACGGCTCGGCTCGGCTGGGCTCGGCTCGGGGCACCGGTGCCGGGGAGGCGGCGGGGATGGCGGGCTGCGGCGGGGGAGCCTGACCGGGAGCTGCCCCGGTGCTGCGGGCTGGTCCCGGGGCTGGGGGCTGGCCCCGGGGAGCATCCACAGGGGGTGCGTTGGGCTCAGCCCCGGCGTGGTGGTCGCGGTTGTTGGCCCCGCTCCTCGGTGCAGGTCCCGGTGCCGGCGGCCGGTCCCGCTGCTGGGAGCACCCACCCGGGATGCGGTGGGTGCTGAATAGCCCCGGGAGGATGCGCTGCCCCGGGGTGCTGGCCTCGAATCCGGGTGCAGGTGCGGGTCCTGGGTGCTGGTCTCGGTGCTGGGTGCTGGCCGCCGGGAGGATCCACCCGGGATGCAATGGGTTCGCACCCGTGAGGTTGCGCTGGCCCGAGGTGCTGGCCCGGGCCCTGCGGTGCTGGCCCCGGGGAGGATGCGCTGGCCCCGGCCGAGGGCTGCAGCTCCAGGGTGCTGCCGGGGAGGATGCGCTCGCACCGGGGAGGATGCTGGCCCTGGCAGGGGTGTCGGGGATGGGGCTGATGGAGCTGCTTCCCTCCAGCCCAGTGCCCCGGGATGCTGTGGGCAGAGCTGGGGTGGCCACAGAGGGGACCGCGGTGGGAGGGCTGTTTGGGGGTGACCCCGGTCCCCAGCAGTGCTAGTGTGAGGTCCCTCAGCAGCAGTGTGACACATGGCTGTGTGACACATGGCGTCCATTGCATAGGTAGTGGCTGCCAGGATTTCACAAGCAGCCTCAGCGTCCCTGGGGACAGGGTAGGAAACTGTGTCACGGAGCAGGGGATGTCCCTTGCCTGCTGCTGTTTGTGTGTGGGGCGCCAGCACGGGCACTGGTGCGAGATCTCATTGGTGTGCCTGTCCCAGTGTTTTGTGGTGTTTCCCTGGCTGAGGCACGGCTGCCAGAGTGGAATTGGTGCCAGAGCCTGGATTTCAGGGCCTGGCGATGCAAGGGGTCCCCACACGTGCCAGGGGCTCGGGTGCTCCTGGCGCAGGGGAAAGGCAAGGTTTTGCTCAGGCTCCAGCTGCAGAGTCAGAGCACTTATCCCAAAGCTCCCAAATATTTCCCTGGAGCAAGGGCTTCCCATCCCAGCAGGAGAATTTTTAGGGGGGAAGACATCACTCCGGCAGTGTGCAAGCTCAGACTGGAGGAAGGGCCGCGTCCCCTCCTGCTGCCAACAATCATAACACGTGGCTGGGGGGGAACCAAATCACACCAAACCCCCAAAACTTGCTGAGATTCCCTCTAGGAAGACGCGTGGGCTGATGGAGGCAGTTTTGCCCCGCATTATGTGGCATTCCCCCGTTCCCATCCCTGAGCGGCCGAGGGCGGTGAGCGCCGACGGGAAGTTCCTCAGCGCTTTGGGCTTGGTTTTCCTTGTTCTTCTCCTTCTGTCAGAGCCAGAGGTCGCGGCGGCAGCTCGGGGGAAGCTCGGGCTTGGGGGGGGGGGGGGGATTGCCTCGCCCGCCGCCCCCACCCCGCCCCAGCCGCGCGCGTGCCCGTCTGTCCGTCCGTCTGTCTGTCTGTCTGTCCCCATGTGGCAGCGAGCGGCGGCCCCGCTGCCGGTGGTGTGCGGCAGCTGCCTGTCAGGAGCGTTTCCCTCTCCTCCGAGCGGCTCATGGCGGTTCTCGGGAGCGGCGGGTTCGCGCTCCGCTCGCCGCCCACGCCTCGCCGGCGCCGGAGGCAGGCGGGGAGAGCCCGGGCAGCCGCTCGCTGGGGGAACGCTTGGGTTTTCATGCCCAAACAAGCCCCGAACCGCCGCTTTTTTCGGTGAATGGGCTCTGGCGGTGCCGAGGGCGCGATGGTTTCGCTGCGGGCTCTCGGCGCGCCCGATGCTGCCCAGCTCGGCACAACGAGGTCCCGGCGGCTCCGCGGCTTTCCTCTGCTCCCGCTGCATTGAATTCTTGCACGAGTGCGAACTGCTAATTGCTCTCTTGGCCGGCTTCAGTGCTTACTCGCGAGCCGGGATTTATCAGAGCCCGCTGGACCCCGGGGGCTTGGGATGTGGTGGGAGAGGCTGGGAACCTCCTCTCCCTGCCCTGCTCCTCCGGGACCCTCCTGGCTTCATGTTGCTCTTTGCCGTCGGTATCTTCCATAAGCTTTTTTTTTGGAAGATGCAAGAGATTTAGGTCCCAGCTCTATGGCAAAGTTCCCAAAGACACCCCCAAAACTGCACGCGGATAAGTGATAAATACATATAAAAAATTTATATCATCTATCTATATATCTGCATTGTGATATATGGATTATTTTTTTTTCTTACTGGAGGGCTGGTTCAGTGCTGGGGATCTAAACCTCCTCAACAACCGCTCTTGGGAAACCAGAACAAGCTGCAGTCACTTTGCTCCGGGTGCCACCATGTCCCCACCAAAGGACTTTTGATCTGCAGCAGTAATTGGGCTAATTAGGAAGCTGCAAATGCTCCCCCTTCTCCCCAGGTGTCTGAGCAGAGCCCCAGCCAGCAGAGAGAAGTCAGGGGCCCTCACCAGTGGAACTGCTCTAATTTTACATTTAATGGGAGTCCCTGGCTGTAACTGGGCTGTGCTGGGATTGATGGCCTCTGGCCTGGGAGGCCCATAACTTCCCTGTGATGAAATCTCATAGGTACAATTTCCCTGATGACATAAAAGGCCTCTGGCTGTTGCCTGCAGGCAGAGCAAACCTGGGTGTTTACCCACAGCGTGGGCCGAGTTTGCAGTTCTCAGCTCGGGCTGTGCCCCGGGGGAGAGAGGGCAGCTGTGGGTCACAGCACCCATCAACCAGCCCTCCAAAGCCAAAGGAAAGCCTTTGGGGGTTTCCACTGCCTGCCAGCCTCGGTGCTGATGAGACCCAGGGCGGAGGAAAGGAAAGTGCAGGGGGGCCCCATGTCCCTGCTCACCTTCTCTGGGCAAAGGGCCACAAACGGCAGCAGCGGCGGTGCCTCCCTGGTGCAGCATCCACCCGTCCCGCACTCCTGCACATATTTTCCTGGTGAGGCATCAGGCACAAACCTGAAGGGTCCAGGCTGGTAAAAGGAGCAGCGGTGGTGGAGGGAGAGTGGTTCCTTCCCCGCAGCCAGCGGGGACACTCGGGGTGCTGCTGGCGGCTCACGGGGTGCTGCGGTGATGGATTTGGGAGCAGAGGCCCTGCCCGTCCTGGGGGAACATGTCTGTGGTGTGGCCACGTCCTTGCAGGGACCTGAGGAGGGAGGGAGGCTGATTCAGGGGTGTCTGTGGGATGCAGCCCTGCTGCACCAGGCAGGGAGGGGGACACAGGCCAGGCAGACTGTGCTGATCCCAGTCTGCAGCTGTGGGAGGGTGAGGTGGAAGTGTGGCTGGCAGCGGGCAGCCAACTCCCCTTGGAGCCAGATGGCTTTGCACGGGGAGAGTGCCCACCCAGCATGGCCCCATCAGGCAGCTCAGGGTGTTGGAGCTGATGTAGTTCCCCAAGGGCTCCCACTGCGGTTGAGCCGAGGGGCTTGGGATGCTGCTGAACCAGTCCCTGCAAGGCCCATCCACCAGCAAGGGTGGGAGCCTTCTGTTCTGAGCTTTCCCACTGCTGGCACTCCCCTGTGCCCCCAGATCCCATAGGAAATGGCCTCAGCGAGGCTGGCTCCGTCCCAGCTCCGTGCTGGGGATTTGGTCTCCACGCTTGTTCCTGGCCTTATCCCAGCGCTGAGGGACAAACCCAAAATAACCCCTCCAGAGGCCAGGAACAAGGAAAGGCTGGAATTGCTGCTGTTGGCAACCAGGGGTGCAAGTAGGGTTTAAAACATGGGAAACCCAATTAACTTGGCTCCATTAGCTGATTGAGCTGGCTGATAAGAGTATGATTAATTAAAAGGATGAGGAATAAGTTACCAGGTCTTTGCTGCTGTCGGGATATGGCGATGGCTTAATGCATGAAATTGGCTTCTTCTCCTAATACCTGGTGCTCAGCTACCACTGGCCATCAGTCCTGCATGGCACTGATCCACAGCAGGGAGAAACATCCTTGTGCCAACACCGGGTCTCGCTCCCTGCTCCTCTCCCATCCAGCTTCCAGGGATGAAAAAAAATTCACGGGGAAAATATAATCCCTCTGGATGGGTGATGCAGGAGAGAACCTTCTTCATTACCTGTGCTGTTCTCTCCAGCTCTTGGTCTGGCTCTGGAAGGCCCGTGATGCAGAGGGACGGGGTACGGTCCCTTCCCGCGCCGCCCCCGGCAGATTCCCGCTCAGATTCCCGCTCGGCATTCCGGGCTAACAGGAGCTGACGTGGAGGCAAGCGGGGCGCGCTCCTCGGTGCTCTGCCCGTGGGGCTGCAACCTCCGGCGGCGCTCGGGCCTGGCAAGAAAGGAAATTAGAACAGTTTTATACATTTTTGTAATAATCCAGCTCGCTGAAGCTGGGTCTGAGACAAGGCCAGGTCACCGCTCGGTGTTTGTGCCTGGGGCTGAAGGAGGTGGGAGAAGACTCAGCTCACATCCACTCCTTCCCTGTCAAAAAAAAACCCCCAGTCCTAGCTCCCAGTTATTCCATCATGACAGCAGGAGAGAGGCTGGTCTGGTCCAAGGGGTCCCTGTGTGCTTCCCCCTCTTCCACCTGCAAGAGCCATGCACCGCTCTGGCACCTGGTCAAGGGTTTGGTGGTGGCAGAAGTGATGTCCCTGCACAGGGGCCATGGGGTGGGTGGCACCTGGTCACCTGCATTTCCTGAGGACTTCCAGGGGAATTTTCAGCCCTGTCATCTCTGGGAAGAGCAGCAGTTGGTGGGGGCAGTGCTGCCCCTGCTCCTCCACTCCCCTCCTCTCCCTGCCCCAAACAGGGTGACATCCTATCTCCCAGTGACAGCTCCTCCCTGTGCCCACCCTGCCGTTAACCAGCATGGAAATTGGTGCCAACAACCTCAGGATATCTTAGAAACGAGCAAACAAAGGCAAGAAGACCTAAAGACCGGGTGGGATGTGCCTGGTGGCATTACAGCTGATGGGGAAGGGACAGGCATCCTCCAGGCCCTGGGGCTGTCGGTCACATCTCTCCAGCACTTGTCCTGAAATGAAGGATTACATGATTGGAAAAAACCATCCAGCTGTAAAAGCAGCAGAGCAATTTGCTGGGACCTTTTAATAGCCTCGTTTCATTATCTCCCGCAATCAAAGAGAAACTTGTGTTTGATGAGCACAGGGTACTCAGGAGACAATTTAGGATCCTGGGGATGAATTTGGGAGTGGGAGGGTATTTAGTGGCATGGCTGGGTTGCTGGGCTTACTCACCACAGGAGAAATCCTGAAATCCCTTGTTATTTTAAGAAGGAAACATCAAAAATCTGGTGCCAAGTGCTCCTGCAGTGGGGTTTTATTTGTGGAGGCGGGTTGGGTTAGGATTGGGCAGGGAGGGCATGGAAATTGCAGGGGTACGTGTGGATGTGTGGGTGCCCTGTGCCTGCTGGGGGCTGTAAGGACCAGTGCAGATGGAAATAGCTGCCAGCTCCTGCTAGGAAAATGATGACTCAAACCAGCCGCTGGGATTTAAGGCTTCTTTTTACCGCGCATGAGCTGGGCTGGAGGGGGGGGTTTCCCCCCGCTGTGGTCGGGGGCAGTTCCGGGAGGCCCCGGGTCGGGGGGGGGGGACCAGCACAAAATGTGCTCCAGATGCTGCCAGGGCTGGGATGCATCAGGCAGGACCAGGCTGTGCTGGGGAGCCGGAAAGGGATTTCCCCCTTTTCACCAGGAACAAAAATAACACAGGCACACGTGATAGCTCATTTCCTTTAGCCTTTAAAAAGCCCCGTGGGATGGTGAGCGGCGGGAGCAGGGGAAGGGGATCTGCCCATCCTGCCTGGCGTCCCCTGCCACGTCGCAGCTGAAAAAAAGCACGAAAATCGCCTTTTACCTCCGAATCCTTCCAGTGTTGTGCATCTGGGGGGGGAATATACCTTTGTAGTGGCTTTATCCCAAACTCCCCTATATGCAAACCCTCCGTTTAACAGCCACCCTGCTTTTCCCTCTGGCAGCAACCCAAGGAACTCGTTGCAGTCACTTCTGGACATGTGTGTAGCATGTAGGTTTGTTTAAATGCCTCCCCCAGAGCCTGGGAAAGGACTTGGACTGGGATGTGCCCTTGGTTTTTGGCTCTTTCCTTTAAAGACTGTCACCACTTGAACAAATATTTGACAGTGGGTTAAGGATTTGGGCAGGAGGCATCTATGCAATGGGCTGGGGGAGACTTTGGGGTCCATGGTCTCCCCCCATCCCAAGGAGTTTTTTGGAAGGTGCAGCAGTCTCTGTCCCTGGTAAGGAAACCAGCGTCTTCCAGAGGATGTTTTTCCTAGGGAAGAGGCATCCTGGTGCCTGCTAGCTCCTAATTAGTGCTGCCAGCCTCATGCTGGCCTAGCTGGGGCCGGGGCTGAGCTGTGGAGATGATGCCACTGCAGGGTTTGGCCTTGGGGGGGGGTCATCCTCTCCCCACAAAAGGCCTGGAGGGGAGGTCACATCTCCATTCCCCTGAGACGCTGGATGCTGTCCCAGCTCAGTGACTGGGTTGAAAGAGGATTTTCAGCCTTTTTTTTTAAATTTGGCCAAGGAAGGGGGTCTGGCTTTGCCCTCCCCCCGGGCTCGGGGGGCTTGGCCGCCCCTCTCGTCCCTGCCCGGGCGCAGGCGCCGGCACCTCTGCCCTGGCTATTTTTACCCGCCGGGATCACGAGCGAGCGGGTGACCTTCCCCGAGGGATGCTGCCACTCGGGGTGGGGGGGGACAGTCCCAGCGCCGGTCCCCGGGGTGCCCGTCGGGCTGCGGAACAGTCGCTTCCCGGCTGCCTCGGCGAAGAGGGTTTTTTTGGAGGGGCCGCTCACGGCGTGATAGGGAAGGAGGATTGAGCCTACAGAAAGGAGCCCCTTGTTCGGCTCCGTGGGCGAGTTGGTGGCTGAGCCTTTGTCTGGCAGGGGCAGGGAGGGCACAGCCCGGGAGCTGCGGGGGTTTCCCCGGCACAGGCAGCAGTGCCGGCACCTCGGCTCCCTTCGCACCGTGCGCCGGCTCGTCCCCTTTGGGGATGGCTCGTACCCTGTGCCAGGGATGGCCCGGGAGCCCTTTTGTCGCGTTCGGTGGGGAATAAACTCCTCAGCCCCCGGCGCTCTCCTCCAGCCCCGCCGGCTGTGTCGCCGCCCCGTGACCCGCTGTCCCCTCCTTCCCGCTCCAGGCCGGTGTCGTGGTGGCCGCGTTCCCGAGCCAGGAGCTGCGGGCCCGGTGCCAGCGGATCAGCTAAACCCGGGGATGAGGAGCGCCGTGGCAGCTGAGCGCCAGCCGGGGCCGGGACCCGGAGGAGCCGCCGGGGCGCGGTGCCGCGGCTGAGCCCGGCCCAGCCGAGTCGTGCCCCGAGCCCCGCGCCGCCGGGGCCGGCAGCAGATGCTCCCTACCTGGCACTCGGAGCCACCGGGGGCCCTCGCCGCGGCTGAACAACGCGGATGGAAAGCTGCAGCCCAGCAGGTAGGAGCCCGGCGCGGTGGGTCACGGGGGGCTCTACATCACCCCGCTGCCGCGGCGGGGAGTTAAAGCTCTCGTTCCCGCAGGGAGCCTTGCTGGCCGGCTGACACCATCCCGCGCCCTATGCCCGCGCCCTGTGCCGGAGCGGGCGCCGTCCCCGGCTCAGCCACCCGCCGACCATGAAGTGCTCGTTGCGCTTCTGCTTCCTCTCGACCGCCTTCCTGCTCGTCTTCGTCATGTCCCTCCTCTTCACCTACTCCCACCACAGCATCGCCTACCTGGACCCCGGCGGGCTGGGCGGCATCCACCGGGTGAAGCTGGTGCCCGGCTACGCCGGAATGCAGCGGCTCAGCAAGGCGGGGCCGTACCCCCGGGGCTGCGCCTGCCGCCGCTGCCCCGCCGAGGAGCCCGGGGCCACCGACTGGTTTGACGGGCGCTACGACGGCAGCGTGTCCCCGGTGTGGACCAAGGAGAACATGGACCTGCCGCCCGACGTCCAGAGGTGGTGGATGGTGAGCACGGGGATGGGAATGCCGTGATGCGCTCTGGCACGGGGGGTCACTGGCTGATGCCCCCCTGCCTTCCTTCCCTCCTCCCTGCAGATGCTGCAGCCCCAGTTCAAGTCCCAAAACACCCACGAGGTCCTGAGCAAGCTCTTCCAGATCGTGCCAGGAGAGGATCCCTACCGCTCCCGTGACCCGCGGCGCTGCCGCCGCTGTGCCGTGGTCGGCAACTCAGGCAACCTGCGTGGCTCCGGTTACGGGCCGGAGATCGACGGGCACGACTTCGTCATGCGGTGAGGGAGGGTCAGGGAGCACTGCCGGGGGCACTGCCCACCCCCAGCCCCACGGGCAGCACAGGATGCTGGCACCTCCGGGTGCTGGGATGGGTCCAGTCCTTCCACCTTCCCTGGGCTGGCTGGGGGGGACCCTCCTGTCATCCTGGCACTCTGAGCATCAGCAGGCTGGGAAACTGCTCCTTGGCAGCATTCAGCAGCTCACGGGGGACATCCGTGTCACCTGCAAGGCACGGGGTGGCTGGGAGGGTGGTGTGACCTTCCCGGCTCTCTCCCCAGGATGAACCAGGCCCCCACAGTGGGTTTTGAGGGCGACGTGGGTGGTCGGACCACACACCACTTCATGTACCCCGAGAGTGCCAAGAACCTGCCCGCCAACGTCAGCTTCGTGCTGGTGCCCTTCAAAACCCTGGACTTGCTCTGGATCGCCAGTGCCCTGTCCACTGGCCAGATCAGGTTGTAAGTACCCAGTGGGCACCAGCAGCACCAGGCTGGTGACTCACCTACCTTGGGGACAGCTCCCCTGGGAGCAGTGGGTGTTCACTGGTTCCTCCCTCCCAGAGCATCCCTTGGCAGCTCAGGCTGGAGATGAGGGTGTGGGAGCCCTGAGATCTCACCTGCCTTTCCTCTTTTCCCAGCACGTACGCACCTGTGAAGCCTTTTCTGCGTGTGGACAAAGAAAAGGTACGGGGGGCTCATCCCCACAAGGGCCACGAGCACCTATTTGGTCACAGCCCCCGTTACCCCATCAGCCCCCAGGGTTCCCAGTGCTCCTTCCCGGGGTGCCAGTGCTGACAGGGGCTCCAGCACTAACCCCAGCCCGTCCTCCCAGGTACAGATCTACAATCCTGCCTTCTTCAAGTATATCCACGACCGCTGGACGGAGCACCACGGGCGCTATCCCTCCACTGGCATGCTGGTGCTCTTCTTCGCCCTCCACGTCTGCGACGAGGTAGGTGACGGCTCCTTCAGCTCCCTAAGGAGGGAGGTGGATTCTTTGGGTCCAACCGCAGCAGCGTTCACTTGCTCTGGTTGCCTGACACCACAGTGATGGGCACCCTGGAGGGGTGGGAAGGCTGTGCAGGGAGACAGGGAGGGGAAAAATCACCCTGGCATTGCGGCAGGTGCCCAGACAAGGGGGTCCCCCAGGCTGGGGATGGGTTCTGGCTCACTCCCTTCCTTGCCCCTGCAGGTGAACGTCTTTGGGTTCGGCGCCGACAGCCGGGGGAACTGGCACCACTACTGGGAGAACAACCGCTATGCGGGGGAGTTCAGGAAGACGGGGGTGCACGATGCCGACTTCGAGGCGCACATCATCGACATGCTGGCCAAAACCAGCAAGATCGAGGTTTACCGGGGCAACTGAGGGCTGTGCCGCCCCCGGCTCCCTGCTCTGCCGGGTCCTGCTGCCTGCGGGGGCAGAGGGCGAGGGTGTCCCCAGTGGCCTCGGGCGACGAACACCAAGTTGGGCGGCGCCGGTTCTGCGCCGCTGACAGAGCCACCCCGGCGATATTTGGTGCCTCCAGCAGCCAATCAGGTTCAGAGCTAAAGGAGACTTTTTGCTTTTTTTTTTTTAATAGTAATTATTATTATTATTATTAAGAAACCCAGCTGAGAAAGGATTTATAAACACAATCAGCGACTGACCAGGCGGCGGGGGCGGCCGCCTCGCATCTCTACAGTCAAACCAAATGCTGCTCTTTTTAAAACAAGACAACCCCCCACCCCGAAGCTGGGTGACTTTGGGGAACCCCTCGAGCACCAGCGTCTGGGCCGAGGGAGCCGCGGCGGCTGCGCAGCCTCACCAGTGGAACCGGCTGCTTCTTTCTTCCTTTATTTTGGGTTTTTGTTGTTTTGTTTTTTTCCCCTACCTGGGGCAGCCGATGCCTCGTTTCTCCAGAGAAGGCTCCCAGCAGAGGCAGGTCCCAGCACGTGGATCCGTGGTGGGGAGCTGGCAGCTGCAGGAAGCCGATCATTGCCGATGCTCCACTGCAGGGTGGTGATCACTGGCACAGCCGGGCTGGGAGGTGAAGAGGAGCCCTGACTTCAACACCCAGGATCCCTGCTCCTCTACCTGAGGACTGAGGAAGGATATGACAGATTTTGGGAGCGACTTGTGCAGGAGGCAGCTAAGAAACCCCCAGGAGCAGCAGCCCAGTCCCTCTGGCTGGGCTCTGGGAGCGGTTGCAGGATTCACAAGGCTGTGGGATGCAGCAGGGTCAAGGAGACAGGATTTCCTTCGTTTTCAGACTGGGAAAAAACAGATTAGAGATAGCTTTAGAGGGTGATTGAACCATGCTTTTGCTTTTGTGTTGCTCTAAAGAGCTCTGGTGAGAAGCTGAAATCCCAAAGTCTGCTCCATTTGCGAGGGTGGCGCTTGGTTTAGACCAGTCTGATACAGCTGGTGCCCTCAGGGTCCCCAGGGCTTCCCAGGCTGGACAGGCATGAGACAGAGAGATGCTGAAGGAAACTGCTTCCCCTGAGGTGTCATTAAAACCACTTTTCTTTGGGTCAATCAGATGGGTGGGGGTTTTTTTTTGGTTTGTGTTTTTTTGGTGTTTTTTTTTTTAGGAGGTGCTGGAAAGCTCAAGAAAAAGGCAATCATGGAAAAGGTCCCCCAGAGAGGGACCCTCCACCTGTGCAGCTGGTGCCAAGAGTGGGGTGGGGGCTGTGGGGTTGTGCCCAGCTGGGGAAGCCCTGCCCACACTGCCTGGTTGCAACAGTTGTTTGAGGAACAATCACCATAGGGGTTTTTTTGGGCTTTGAGGATTTTTACCCTTTTGTATCTGGCTTTTCTGTAGCAGCCTCTTCCCTGTTTCTCTGCTTCAGTTTGGTTGTTTTTCAGGGTTTTCTTCTCTTCTGTTTTTTTGAGGTTTCTCTCTGCAATCGTCAAACACGAGGGTGTGGGTTGGTCACCTGGAGCAGGCACTCAGGAGCCCCTGGGCTGGGGAAATTCAGCTTTTCTGTCCGCAGGGCTTTAGACCCTTGAGTTTTGTGGTGGGTGTTGGTAGGTGTGGAGCTGCCCCAGCGCTGGCAGCCCCGAGCCCCGGGGCACAGAGGCAGGTGGTGGCAGCAAGCCCTGCTCTCCACCTTCCTGGGTGGCTTTTTAGTTTTTGTCTGTTTTTTTAACGGGAAGAAAAGTAAAAAACCACAAAACCACAAGCAACAACGAGTGCCTTGACCATCTCCCATGGGCCCTGCCAGGCTGTGCCTGCTCCCATGCTGGCGGCAGGGACTTGGCCGACGTATCTGGCAGTTGTACCCACCTCCCTCCTCGCACCAGGCTGGATCTTAGTTGGGAAGAGAGGGGCACATCCAGGCCACTATACTGGTGGCTAGAAAGGCCAAATCTAGTGTGATGAGGCCAGACCAGCTCCTGTTAGAGCTGAGCAGGGCCCGGCCTGACAATCACAGGGTGAGCAGAGACGCCGGGTGCCGAGCCCGGGTACCAAACCCTGCAGCAGCGCAGTGCTGGCACCTGGCGAAGGGCGTGTTCGGGGCTGCCCTGACAGTATTTTTGGGGTTTTTTTTTTGCTAACTTCCTTCCCCTACCCCCTCTTTTTTTTGTTGTTGTTGTTGTTTTAATTATTCTATTATGTTTTATTTAAGCTGTCCCACTAGGACTGGCGAGCACTCGCGTTGGGCGGGCAGGGCCGCGGGCAGGAGCACACGCGGCCGGCGCACCACTGTACTGTACATAGAGGAGATGTAGGCAGAGGCTACGGGCAGGGGGGGCAGGCAGGGAGGGGGTGCCCAGGCTTGCCCACCTGGCAAAGGTTAGTCTGCATCACGCGGTGCCTGATCCGAGCACCCATCGCCTCCCGCCCCGCCGGGACCGGGAGAGGCCAGTGCTCTGAGCGAGGGCTAGGAGCAGGCGGGCAGCTCAGCCCGTAGCCTCTGTGTACATGGGTACTTCTGCACACAACTGTCTTAAAAACAACTGTTTTTTTTAAAGGTCAATAAAAACCATGCATCAAATCTGCTCGGGGGTTTTGGTCTGGTAGCCCTGGCTGCTGTGCCTTTGCCTGCGCCCAAACCCGGTCACGAGAGGAGGGAAAGGGAATGGGAGGGTTGGTGGGGCCCAGGTGCTCTGCTCTCCCCTTCTCTCCTGGGCCAGATATCAGCCACCATCTGTGGGTAATCCCCTCCACTGGGGCAGGAGCAGAGCCTGGCCCCAAGCCGCCCTGGGTGCCCAGCAGCAGAGCCCTGGCACAGCCCCTCTGGCCAGACCCCCGTGGTTGGTGATGGCACTGCTCACCCTGACCCCACACTCGTGTCCCAACCCCCCTGCACCCAAAAACAGAGGCTCTGGACCAACACAGCCCATGTCCTTGAGCCCCAGAAGAGCAGAGGGAAAGACATGGACAAACTGTTGAAGGACATAATTCTGAACACGGTACAGGGCAGAGGCAGGGGAAGGGACTCCTAAGGCTGGACCCTGTGACAGGCCTGGTGTCCCTGCAGGACTCCACGCAGACAACCAGGGGGGTTGGATTCTGAAAGACACACGAGGCTCTTGCACAACAAATGCTCAAATTCGGGAGTAGTTAAAATGCCTCTTTATTAATATACAAACCTAGCAACATTTAAGCCAACCAAAATATGAAATGAAATCAAGCATGATATAAATACAGCATACATGACAACATGGCCTCAGTGGGGAGCAGCAAACTCACCCTGACTTGTGCGCTTGGGAACAACTGTCCACGTCCTCCCCCACGGGGTCTGGCAATCAGAGCAGCCTCGTCTCTCCTAAACCCCCTCGAATCCAAACCCTGCAGAGGTGAGACCACTGCTCCCCACAAAGGCAGAGCACCTGGCACAAGGTTTCTCTGACCCCACATTGCAAAGAAAGAGCCTCCCCAAGGTGCCAGTCGACCTGCTGGCATCTGCTTGCCAGGCCCCTGCGAGGGGAGAGGCCGTGGTGGATGGGGAACCACGCTGCTGAAAGCTGCTCCTTGCTCTGTCCCACCTCAGCTACATCCATTGCACAACATTCACAGGCGTAAGGCACTAGAAAAGTGTTTTCACAGGTTCAAACTTCAGTTGTTCTTATAATTTCGGTAGTAGCACTCATCAGAAATCCTCCCAGCCCTTTAAAATCTGTTCTTGGGAGACAAAAGCATGAAGGGGTTTGGATGAGTGTCCTGCTGCAAGCCTGACCAAGAGACAGAGAACCCATGATAGACTTCAGGGACATTAGCCTGCCTCTGGTGTCACTGGAAGAAGTGAAGTCTGCTCCACTACAGGAAGAATATGGAATTTGAGCATGGAAAAAATCTCAGCAGCAGCAAGTAAAAAGGCAGAGAGCACAGGATTCTTCTCACACACACAGAATGGATCAGGTCCTAGCTGGGATGGCTGATGACTCCCAAGTATCTGCTCTGCTTGTAGCAGGTGTCAAGAGCCCCTGTGGGAAGATCAACTGTTACCAGCACTGACAAATCAGTAAGTACAGCTGTGAACACCTTCCTGAGGATAACGTCCCGCTCCTGCTCACGGGGATTCCCCATCCGAGCAGGGATCCCACACACAGCACATCAGCACAGCCTGTCACACCTGCAAAGCAGCACTTCTGCCAGCACAGAAGCCAGCCTGACACTGGGCATGCAGCTCAGCTTTGAGACAAATGGGAGATGAGAAGTCTCAGAGCCATCTCGGCAAACGCTGTGGGCAGCAGCAGATCCCCTCTGCTCCCGCTTCTGCCTGCAAATGTCAGATGGTACAGCAGGGAAGCGTTCAAGCAGAGAATTTTGTTTCCTTTAATGCAATGGGACACTCACAGAGCACTCTGCACCAGCCCAGGCTTCTTTAAGAAATAAGAAAACCCATTACACCGTGAGGAAAAAGTGAATAAATCCATCTCTGGAGGGAAAAACAAACAGGAAGGTGTCAGCCCAGCAGCTGAACAGGCACAGGGGCTCCCAGCTCAACACAAATTCCAGCCTCACACTGCAACAGCAGCTTCCCCCATCCCCCAGTGCTTGCTCAATAGCAGCTCTGGGTGCTCAGCACACAGCTTTCCAGGAAGGAAATCAAATTGTACCATGGCAGGTACAGTCAGTGCCCAAACACCACACTCACAGCTTTAAGGCATTTATAAATACTTAAAAGGGGTTTTTTCCTATCAAATGCAAAGACTACTCATGCAGAGGGCTAAAAGCACTAAATGCATGGTGCTACAGCTATAATGCTTAAGGAAAGTTTAAAGTGCAAAGAAAATTTTCCAATACTTTTTAGTGACAGCTTGAAGTCATCTGATGACCCTAACACTCCCTCCTTCCCCAAGTGCTGTTCCCTGACTGAATGCTTTTTTTTTTAAATAAAAATACAAACAATCAGTTAAGGAAAAGGTACTTTAAAACAAACAAACAAAAATCTTGAAACGGGCAGAAATTAATCTAAGTATTATAATAAACTCATTTGGGAAGACAAACCTAAAGGTTGTGAATATTTTGCTCGACATTGTCAGCAGCCAAGTGTTGTGTTTTAAATAAAAACAACTTCTGCCCTTCCAAGCAGCTGCCCCCTCTCCCAACACAGAAACCACCTTGGTTTTACAGACTTCTTCCCAAAATTTAACCATTCTGGTTCATTCAAATGCACTGGAAGGACGAGGTGAGCAGTGTCAGTGCTGTACCTTTACAGCTGCAAGAATGTGCTAGAGAGAGACCAAAGTGTTTGGGGCAATCAAGTGCTCACAGTTCCCACCTCACCCGTGGGGAACCGTTTCCTTCATCCCAGCGAGAGAGAGGGAAACGTGCTTGGAAACAAGTGCTAATGCTGTCCCAGCTTGGCCCAGAGCCAGGGCTCTCATCTGTCCAGCACCAAAGCTGCAGAGGAAGATGCTCCCTGAGCTGGGAATCCAGGCTGATCATCTCTCTAAGGCTGGGCTTAAGGAACTAAGTAATGGGCACCGGCTCAAACCTCTATCACACCTCTCCTTCCACCTCAGCTCAGCCACTCTGCCACCCCCTCCCCTGTTTTTATTTTGCCCATGCCTCGCTCTCTGATGGGCAAAAGGGACTGATGTGACTAGAGAAGTGGTAAGGACAGCAGGAAAACCCTGGCACAGGGAAAGGGAAGGTTAAATGATGGGATATACAGTGACCACAAACCTGCCTGGGAGTTCAGATATTGGTATCAGCACCATCTAAAAGCTGAAGAGCTTAAACTGATGCAGAGAGGCAGATCTAGAGCCAACCTGGCTCTGATGACAAAGCATCAGGTAGAAGGAAGAGAAGAACCCTGTGCATGAGAAATCCTGCAGCAGCACAAGGCTGGGCTTTGGAGGTGCTGCAGGAACAGCAAATGATTGGTGGCAGCTCAAATGCAACGGCAGAAAGGAGGAATCCAAGCTTACACCAGGACTTGGAGATGCAGTGGCTGTTTCACACAGCCTCCCCTCCTTGCCACAAAATAAGAAACTGTCCAACAAGGCCTGTCAAATCTAGATACAGGAGGCAGCACAGGAAAAACAAGAAGAAACTAAGTCTGGCAAAAACAGATATGAAAACGACTGTAACGCATTCTCCTGAAACAGAAAACATCATTCCAAAATAGGCTGCATTCAGATCATTAAATATGAACAATAAAGTCTCTCTTCTATAGTACCAGTTTTACTCAAGCCTTGCAGTACTCAAAGACTAACAAAACATGAGAACATAAGGACACAACAAGGTTAAGACAATGTAATACCTCCAGAAAAATCATTCAATGGAAGGAAGTGGTACCTCTTCCTCAAGTTCCCCAAACTACAAACAACACTTGGGCAAGCCAGCCCTTCCCATGCCTGCACATTCAGATGGATTCACTCATTAGCTTCCCTCCCAGGATGCCAGTATGAACAGAATCTACAGGGCTGTTCCCATTCTGGACAGCAAAACTCAGGGAACTGCAAACAGCCCTGTGACTGACACACCCGAGGTGCAGAGGGCAGACCTGCTGCTGCTCCAGCACAGAATGAGGCTGTTTCCCCTTCCACTGCAGCAGAGAGAGACTGTTTTAGTGTTTCCCAATCCAAGGTGCACTGTCTTACCATGCAGAATGAGAACAAACCACCTTTCTCAGCAGAAGGCATTTTAAGGCAGTTTTAAGGATGAGAATCAGGATGTAGAATTTTACTGTCTGTGTTATTTACCAACTTAGATGCTAAGACTGTGCCACAGCCGCTTCCAAGACCAGATTATTTAATTTTTTTGATTTGGAGGTGTACTAAAGGTACTCTTCAACAGATTTCGTTGTTCTTTTTTTAGGCACTCTACTTTAATCATCAGATAAGGGATTAGTGTTACACGTCACTGCTTAATACCTCTAGAAGAAAACACTACACTAGAAGGACCTTCCTCAGTCTCAGTGTCGCTATTTTAAAACGTGATCCAATTGTCCCCTTGACGGGTGTTCAAGTTGGTGAAGACAAACTATTCTTTACCACTGCAAGGTTAAAAATAGCTACACCAGGAGTTACATCGACTGAGCCTGAACAGCAGCCGAAGAGCTCTCAGGTTCTGATACAAAACAAGAACCAGAATTCACAGCAGAGAAGGCCAGAGTAGGCGTTAATGAGCTGCAAGACTGACAATTACCAAACCACCCAAGCCTCAAACGGCAAACACAGCATTACAAAAAGTGTTGCTATATCTATCAGCATGGTAGAAAACTATTTTCCCTCTCTATTTTTGGTATGGAAAAGTCAATAGATCTAGACATAAAATAAACCTTCCAGGCATAAAATAAACCTTAGCAGACATAATGACAAAAGCAGCTCATAAACCACAATCTTATTGTCAGAACTGCCGGAGAAGAGACACCCGTGTATGAAAAGTTGCCTGATGAAATAACAGGCACCTATAAATTAGGGAAAAGGAAAAATAATCACAAGGAGGAATATAATCTGGCTGCAACTTCAGGCTGATACTTCAGGAATGAGTGGTTGGTAGAGGACAGCACGCTGCTAACTTTCCTTGGTTTGGTCTTAA